TGCTGCGGAGGGAGGCGCGGGGCTGTCGCTGAGGGCGTGCGGCGTCCGGCGCTCACGGTCGGTACGCGGAGCCGAAGGGTGCTTCGGTAAACGTGTGTTGCCTGCTTTATGACACAAGAGCGGAAGGACGTTAAATCGAGTTTTGAGCTTGCTGTACTCTAAGTATCGCTACTCTGGGCTTAAATTACTTCTTGGTGGCACTGCGGGGTACTGGAAGGAGAAAAACCATGAGATTGAGGGACCCTGGAAATCAAGGATATTCGGGGCTATTGTGGAGGATAGTGTAGAAGAAGAGTCTTCAGCAGAAGACAGCCACAGGATCTCAGGTTTAAGTGATTCTGAATGTTGTAGGACTACCAGGGTCGCAGTTTGCTCTGATATTTCTGGCGTTTACTCTGAGGTGTCTGACTTTCTCCAGTGCAAAAACTGGCTGAATTTCTTGGACTAGCATCGTTCATGTGTGTTGATGGCTTAGTGCCAGCGTCTGTGTTAAAGGAGTGGACTGGTGTAAGGCATTTGTAACTCATCTCCTCAGTGATTAAGAACCTAGTAGTAGTAGAAGTGTGACCATACTAAGAACAAATCTACTAAGAGCTATTGAGATGGAAATGCCCTGCTGTTTTCCAGTAGGTGATTTTTCTAGGGCTGTGTCATCATGACAAGTATATCAGTGTTGAGTCTTTCCTGGAGGAACTTTTTAGGAACTGATACTGTAGAACAGACTGCTATGTATGTGTAGATGAATAAATATAAAATTATATATTTAAAAACTCTTGAACTTTGTCTTTACTCTTACCTGAAATTTTTAAAGTTTAGTTTTACTGGTGTCCTACGTTCCAAATAAGAAATTCCAGTACTCTTAATTTAAGTCAGTGTAATAAAACTGGCTCTTTATTGTTTGAGAATCTATAGGCTTAAAACAATTTAAATGGATGCAACTTCTTTAGTACAAGATCTTGCCTTTAGTTATACAGCTTATGATCAAGCAGCCTGATTCATCCACCTGCCAAAAAAGTGCTGCTTGTGGATTAAACAGTCTTGCTTGTGTCAGTAACTGGGAAATGAAGTGTGTAAAATCCATTCCATGTGACAGTATGTTGACTTGAAACTTTCTAGCTAACACTACAAAAAAGCTTACCTCGAGATTTTAGTGTTTCAATTTGTGTAGTTTCTGTTTGTGTAGATGTTACACGCACCTCATTTTTTATATTTTGAAACACTCCTCTCTTTCTTCTTTACAGGTTTTGTTCCACCCAAAAGAATTGAATGATTGAAACTAGAGATACTTACAGTTTTTTCTTGGGAACAGTCAGTATCACTATGGAGGCGTAGGCACCTTAGAAGGGACTTCAGTCTGAACTCTGGGAGGTAGTTCTGTGCACAAATAAAGAAACTAAGGCTTCAATTTTTTTTCCGATCTGAGGATTCTGTTTGTTTCTGTATGCCATAAACATGGCATACAGAAAAAACTCAATTCAACAGTATAAAGCATTAGAATGTCTCAATACAAGGCTATTCATTTATGTTAAATTTGATAACTCTATACTTGTAACTAAGGCACCAGGTTAAAACTGAAATGCTCTGTTCAGTCTCTGCTGGCAATGTTATAGACAGAAAAGCCTGAGGGTGTTCCAGGCTCGTTAATTAAGGCAGCTCATCCTTTTCAGAGGCAGCATATAGGATTTGTTTATCTCATAGCTGAATATTCGATATATGTGAAGTTGAGTATAAACTAATATCTTTAGTCTTAATAATTATTACACTAGTATGCAGAAGTTGAGGGTTTCTTTTGGAAGTCTAGTAGTAGCAAATACACCAGATCAGTTCAGTAATGTCAGTTCACGGACTCTTTCTTTGTATGTCTTTTGAGCTTGATAGACCATTATTTTCAGCCTCCTAATGAGGTTTACAGGCTAAAACCTTTACATGTGTATAAGCTGCATATTTATCAGCTGTCTAGGGCGAAATATTTCTTAAATCACTTGACGTGTGTTCTGGTTGAAAATTATGTCATTTTAGTTGCCCCCTGTTTTAGTTTCTTTATTGATAAAGGATTTTGATAAACTCATTTGAGGTTTTTCCCCCTCTGGATCCCACCTCCACTAGCCTGACAAATTGATACTGCTCTCCCACATACACAGTGCAAGGAAAGCATGGGATGCCTATATGATTCCAGGGAAAGTCCTTTCTGACATGCTTTCTTCAATTGTTAAAATGGGATGGGGCAGCTTTTGCACTGAAAGCAGTTGTATAAACTAAAGTACAAGACCTTCCTAAATGTTGAAAGGCTGAGTTTAATTCTATTCACGTACGCATTCGAAGTTGCACATTAAAGTATTTCATTTTCAGGTTCTTACTTTTGTACAGGCAGGGGTTATTCCAAATTGCCTTTCATGCACACAACTACCTCCCAGAGGAAGACTTGTCCCATTCTTCCAAAAACAGTCCATTATGAACATAATGGAAAATAGCCCTTTCTTGGCTAGCATCATGAAGCAGAGTGCTTTGTGTGGCGAACTGAAGTATGACTTATCCTGTGAACTCTACAGAATGTCGACGTTTTCTACGTTCCCCATTAACGTGCCGGTGTCAGAACGGAGTCTTGCCCGGGCTGGGTTTTATTACACTGGCGTGCAAGATAAAGTTAAGTGCTTCAGTTGTGGCTTAACATTGGACAACTGGCAACCAGGAGATAATGCTATGGAAAAACACAAGCAGCTGTATCCTAGCTGCAGTTTTGTTCAAAACATGCTTTCAGTTAACAACCTTGGACTGTCCTCTCGTTCTGCCTTTTTGCCTCTGGTCACAAACAACCTCTCACCATCTCTACATTCCGTAGCAGCTTCTCCAAGTTTAGAACAAGTTGGATATTTCAGTGGCTCTTTTTCCAGTTTTCCTCAAGACCCGATAACTACCAGGGCAGTTGAAGACCTTTCATTCTTGAGACCTAAACTTCACAATCCTTCTATGAGTACAGAAGACGCTAGACTACGCACTTTTCACTCATGGCCACTGACGTTTCTCTCACCTACCGATCTGGCAAAGGCTGGACTTTATTACTTGGGGACAGCAGACAAAGTTGCTTGTTTCACCTGCGGGGGTCAGCTTAGTAACTGGGAGCCAAAAGATAATGCTATGTCAGAGCATCGGAGACACTTTCCTAATTGCCCTTTTGTGGGAAGCCTTAGTCGAGACCAGCCAAATTTCAATGTTTCGAATGTGAGCATGCAAACCCATGAAGCACGTGTTAAAACTTTCATAAATTGGCCGACTAGAATTCCAGTTCAGCCTGAACAGCTTGCGAATGCTGGCTTTTACTATGTAGGTAAGAAAAACTGATGTCTCTGGTTTCATTCGTACCACTATGTCAGCGTTTACTTTCAAGTAAATTGTGTGAATATTTGCTAGATGTTTTGCCTTTTTGTTTTTTAAAGGCCGCAACGATGATGTCAAGTGTTTTTGCTGTGATGGTGGGTTAAGGTGCTGGGAATCTGGAGATGATCCATGGGTTGAGCATGCAAAGTGGTTTCCAAGGTAACTTGCAAAATCTTGATCATAATTTGTTCGCATCTTTAAATACTTCTAATTTTAGTAATTATGTCCTGCGCTTAATAGTTCTGTTTAACTTCACCGTATGATGTACAAACTCACTCTTTCATTTGGATGTATTTCAGGTACCTCTGTTTAAAAGCTCTGAAGTGCTAAGGTGGCGTTAATTAAAACATTTCTTCATTAAGCATGATATTTAGTGCTTTCCACTTTGAAATTAAAAGCTGTGTGCATCCCCAGGTCACTATTAGCAAGTGAGACTACATTGTTAATGAGAATACTTGTCTAAGAGAAGCAGTCAGATAGCAGACTGAGGAGAGCAAAAGCTGCTGAGAAATGAAGTGGAAGGAACATCTAACCCCCCTCGGTCTAGTTCTGCGCTCTTGCGGAATGCTCTTGAACCAGTCTTTCAGCTCAGGTGGTGTAGTTTCTTAGGTGTGGAAAGGCTTGTGAAGAAGGTTTCAGTGGCTATTTAATGTGTCTCTATTGGAAAAATGACAGTAATAACTTTTTACTGTCCCCTATAATTAAATGGCAGTTGCATACCTAATTGCTGTCTGTGCCTGTGGAAACCTGCGCCTACATTAATAGCTGTGCTTAATTTCAGGAAAGCTAATAATAATTCCTCACATCGTAGATCTCCAGTTAGTCTTTCATGGTCAATGTACCAGGCACTGTTGGGCTATATGATGTACGTAGAGTTAAGTGACACCTTTGTTTCCTTCTGAGTTATGCCTGTCAGCAAATGTACTTAAGATACAACACTGCTTTAGTGAAGCAGATTTGGCTTTGATAGTGGTGTTAACTATTTAACTTCTTTTGAATGATTTAAGAGAAGAGTGGTGAGATGTGAGATAGAAACACTTTATTGCTGCACTTTGTAGTTGTGCTGACACAGTATCATTTCTCATGACGGGCCGTTTTGATTAAAAGTGGTAGCAGAATGTAAAGCTGTTGTGTTTATGTACGTAAGCCTGCAGACTGCTGAACATCGTGGAAAAGCTTTATCAAAGTGTCACCAGACATGAAGCTACATCGAGCTTCCAGTTAAGAGAACTCTTTCCCTTCTGAAGGAAGCAAAACACCTATTTAAGTTATGCTGTGTTATTGTAAACTGTTTCATTCTTCTGTAATTTCTTTTCCTTTGGCAAATAAAAAGTATAATTTAGTACACTTTTGTCAATGTTTCAGGTGTGAGTATCTGCTTCGTGTAAAAGGAGGAGAGTTTGTAAGTCAAATTCAGGCCAGGTTCCCCCATCTTCTTGAACAGGTAGGCTTTACTGGGCTATATCTTTGGCTTTCCCTTGTTGAAGAGTGCTGTGTTCTTTTTGGGAGTCCAGTGCATCCTTCTGCCTCACCTCACTTCTGCATGTATTTCTATTAGGTTTCTAACATGAAAAATGCTCTTCATGAGCACAAAAATGAAACCAGTGCTGAACCATGGCTCATGGACTTGTACTAGTAGAGTTTAACCTGTACAGATTACTTATGGAAAGTGTTAGGAGGCAGTGAGCTCCTTCATGTCAGGAGAGGGAAATTCTGATTACCTAAGTTTCAGTGGATAATGTGGATCAGTAATTTTTACTGCAGAAATCAGTCATGGACAGCCTGAATTATTTCTATCCATAACTCTTCTGGCAAGAGTAAGCCAAACTTCTCTTCATGGAAGTGGTCAGCACTAATGTTGCGTTGATTATATAGCTGCACAAATTTGCTGACTTGTGTAACCACGTGTAAAATGCTTAACGGGCACCATTCAGATACAAAGCTTAGTATGGTTGATAAGGGAAGAACATGTTGGGTATGTAGGGGGGAAAAAGCAATACTTTGATACTAATGTAGTTCTGTCGTGTTCCCACAGCTCTTGTCAACCTCTGATACATCTGTAGATGAAAACATTGATCCTCCAAGTACGTATATTAAAGCATGTTTTTAAACTTCCTCTCAGCATTTTGCAAACTTAACGATTGGGTATCCAAAGCTAACTTGCTTAGCAATTCTTAGATTTTCTTGCAACTACAATATTATAAGGATTTTCCAACTAATGATAAAAGTTAGGTAGCTGTCACTTTATGTGGACAAACTTCAAGGAAGCACCTTTAAGACATCTTTTATTTCATCTTCCTTATTTTCATACTAACAGCTCATATTAGGATTTTGGTTTTGAATGCTTGGCATCTGCTGAATTTGTGGCTTTCAGTTTCATGGCTGGGTTAAACAAAACAAGTCAATTGGCATTTGTTAAATCAATGTATGGTATTGAACGTGGTGGAACAGATGCCAGAGGGTCTCATGACTATGCAGTTATGCAACTCCATTTTTAGGCATATAGCTAGGCAAAATCTGAGTTGAGCAGCAGTGGTCAAGGAGAGGGTAGGACAAGCTGATGAAGTGAAGTCTTTCTGAGCTGGACTCTCATTATGGTGGAAATAAACTCCTCTCAGAGGGTGTGTTATGCTGTCATAGTTCCTGCTGGTTGAGGACAATGAGTCAGAATCCCACGTGTCTGGTGTTTAGTAAGTTGAATGGAAAGTACTGATCAAGAGCTGGAATAGAGAAATTGTTTGTACCATAAACTATGAATTTTGATTCTTCCCCCTCCCAACGTTTTTCAAGACTGAAGTTAGAAATGACTAAGTATAAAAAAAGCTGCTAAGACACAATGGAATTCTGTGGTTTCCCTGGATTATCCTGGATTTTAGTGAAGGCTTGACATGGATTGAAGTTTAGAATGGATTCAATCCAACTGCATCTGAGTAACTGGCTTCCATTTTAAAAAGTCACTACTTAAAAAAGTCCATTTAACCTTTGAAACTTAAGGCTAGTTATTCATGTATGTATGCATGGGTGTAGGTGATATTGATGTGTCTGACTTCTGGGTTGTATAGGTATTTTATTTTTTATGTTACACACAGTGATTTTCCTCTTTGATTAGTTATTCATTTTGAACCTGGAGAGAGTCATTCAGAAGATGCAATCATGATGAACACGCCTGTGGTTAAAGCTGCCTTGGAGATGGGATTCAGTAGAAGGCTGATAAAGCAAACAGTGCAAAGTAAAATCTTGGCCACTGGAGAAAACTACAAGACTGTTAATGATCTTGTGTCTGATCTACTCACTGCTGAAGATGAGAAGAGGGAAGAGGAGAAAGAGAGACAATTTGAAGAAGTGGCATCAGGTACGCATGAGGCATGAATAAAAGTGAAAGTGGTTGGTGTTATGTATAGTTTTTATAATTGTTCTTATTTGCTAAGTGATTTAATTGAGTTGCTATCACAGGATCAGCTTCAGTAAAAGTATTGTCAGGGTGTCTGTATGGAACGAGCAGTCTGGCAGTTGGTTCATTCCCTTTCAGTAGGATGGGTCATAGAGGTGCCAGGGGTTTAGAATCATCTGATTCTCTCCACAGGAACAAAGCCGTATTTTTTTTTTTTTTTTTTAATTTGTGTGCCTTTATGTTGCTGTTAATAAAATAAATGGAACCAAAATACTTTACTTGGCACACTCTACTAATTTTTTTTTTCCAAATTTGCCTGCTTTTTAAGCCACTTGAATTGGTGAGCCACCATATCTGCGTCCTAGAAGAGGCCATAAACTTTTACAAAAGTAAGATGGCCAAAGGTCTGCTTGTCTGTGTCTGACTCATCTGTGTAGGTCAACTATTTAACAGTGTTTATTTATTGTGTCTTTAACATTCCCTATTGTTTTAATACCATATGAGTTCTGAAGCCTAAAAAAGCCCCTACTATTTTTGTTTGTGAAGCAGTTATGAAACTTCTCAATTACCAATTGATTAAGACTGCTTCAGCCATTAAATCTTAATGCAAATGATTTTTTGTTATTTCTGATAGACTATTCAAAAAAAAAATCTCCCAAGTCTGTTTGTGTAGTATGTCTGGTTCTCTTGCACATAAAAATGTTGGACACCTCTTAGAAAAGCTTTATTCTGTCTACATCTCAGTCATGATTTTAACTGCAACTGGCTAAAGCCAGCCTGTCGGCTCTTGGTGAGTTAATGTTGGTGTTACGCAGAGGGGTTGCTTTTTCTTTGCAATTCTGCAGAGGAAGTAAGTTTTGCTGGTGTGAAGTTACATGAGATTCCCTCAGATAATTAACCTAGAGATGGGAGCAGCAGGCTTCATTGATGCAAAGGCTTCAGCTCAGAAGCTGCTTGTACGTGGTTTTCTTAAGTCTGTTCTTACATGAATGCCACTAAAACTTACTGAAGTCTTTATTAATGATGTGTAGTAAGTGAACATTTCAAGTGGAGTTTAAAGACTGTATTAGTTATTGTTAAGCAGAAGTGCAACTTGGAGTAGTGTTTTCCTAACAGACATCTCATCCCCTTTGTATTCCAGATGATTTGTCCTTAATCCGGAAGAATCGAATGGCTTTATTCCAGCGTTTAACATGTGTACTTCCAATCCTCGGGAGTTTACTATCAGCCAAAGTGATAACGGAACTTGAGCATGATGTTATTAAACAAAAGACTCAGACACCACTGCAAGCAAGGGAACTGATAGATACAGTTTTAGTGAAAGGAAACGAAGCAGCCAGCATATTCAGAAACTGTCTACGAGATTGTGACCCTGTACTGTACAAAGATTTATTTGGTATGTGTTTTTTTTTTTAAAGGATGTAAGTTTAGAGAAGTCTGACCAGTGCTGTCATAGTAACTTAAAGAATAAAAAAAAAACTAAATTCAGGTGCTCTTTGAATATAGATTAGTCAAGTCAAATGACAAGGTTTTCTTTTTTTTCCCCTCTTATTTTAGTGGAGAAGAACATGAAGTATGTTCCCACAGAAGATGTTTCAGGTATCTTAAACTCTTTCTTACTTCAAAAGCTATTGTGTGACAAAGAGCTAATATAAAAAAGAAAATTACTTTGGTTAAGAAACAGGTTTTATGCTTTATCCTCTCCCTAATTTTGCTTTGGTAAGATGGACTTACCTGAAAAAATCAAGTGCATGTGCAGACTTGCAAGCAAGTCTATCTGCTATGACCTGTATGCTGTGCCTTACACGTGCTTCTGTACCTAAGGAGGTAGAGCTTTCTGGAGCTCAGCAGTTCAGGCATGTGCTGGACTTGATCATGGTACAAGCACTCACTCGGGCTTTTGGCAAAGTCCAGACAGTAAATAGTAGGTTAGCATTTCACAGCAGATACCATCACCTCTGCTTTTCCAGATTGGATTATAGGTGTCCTAAGGTGTAGCTGGACTAAGAGCTGGGTTGATAAAAACTTATCAGACATGGGATGGAGCTTGCTCTGGTTCTTAGTCCTATAGTTTAATATGTTTATAATAGACTGCAGAAGAGTATACAAGGCTGAATATAGGTCACTTCCACCAGTCGGGCTGTGCTCTGTGCTTCTAATAACCAAGCAAGAACAGTATAGTATTTGCTAAAATATAAACATTGGTTGGTCTGAAGAACTACAGTTGGCCTCCAGTCTCTGAGCTGTTTGTTGTCTGACAAAGGTGGAAAGCACATAGTTCCTTGCGTGCCACTTTGAGCTCTGGAAATTGTGCTTATTTTCTCACTGCCATCTGTGTTTAGTGAATAAGATGCAATCACAACTGGGAGATAAAGGGCGAAATGAAACATGGCCGTATTTTAAGTAGAATGCAGATATATGCAGGCTTCTAAAAAAGTTAAATAATTTTTTACAGGTTTACCTATGGAAGAACAATTAAGAAGACTGCAAGAGGAAAGAACATGTAAAGTTTGCATGGACAAAGAAGTTTCTATTGTTTTTATTCCGTGTGGTCACTTAGTGGTTTGCAAAGAATGTGCACCGTCCCTTAGAAAATGCCCGATTTGCAGGGGGACAATAAAGGGCACGGTTCGTACCTTTCTTTCGTAAGGAGGGAAACTTGCACATTGTCTGTGCCTGTCATCCTCCAACTGCTGAAGCTTAAGCCAGCAGTGTCTGAAGAATGGAAAGTGTGGTACAAAAGATGATTAATCAACTACTGAACACCGTTGTGTAATAGTGAACCGTATCGTCGTTATGAATACCCTTGATCTTCCTTGCCAAAGGCTATTTCTGTTCATGAAACTAACTCAGTACTGAGGTGAGGTTTTTGTAGCTTTCCTTTCTGAGGAAGGAAAGCAGTTTCACGAGTATGCCCTTGTGCATGTTTGAATAAAAAACTTTCTAGTTGAGTTTCTAAAATGGAGCTTGGCATAACTCTTCTCATGAGTTTCCTCCGTGTGGATGTGAGAAAATACATTAAGATTGCTGTTTATTAATAATTAATATTAATTAACTTCAGCTACTGTTTTGATTCTGTTTTGGCTTTCTTGTGGACTTCAGGAGAAAAGAAGCTAACTGTTGCAGGAACAGCAGGACTTTTTTTAAGTTTTATTCATGCCTGGATACTTGTGTAATGTGTATTAATAATAGTTTATATGAAGATTAAATTAAAATATTTCTACTTCTCAAATGAGTGTTTGTTTCCTCTGTTCCTGTTGTTGGCTTTTCTCTAGGCTGTGGCGACTAGAATGCTGTCTTTTCCTGATAAAAGTTTGAGGTTGTTTATTTGCCTGCAAAAGTACAATAAAACTTAATTCCGTGTGTCTTTCATTCATTTTTTGAACAGGGAAGTGAGCTTCTGTGCTGCTTGGTCATTCCTTCTGGTGAAGTAAGGGATTCAGATTTTTATCCCCATTTAAAAAGAAACAAACACACAGAACCCCTAACAGCATCTGGTACTTGCTTCTGTCTTGATTTTTCAAAGAACAGAAATGCTGGCTGGAAATGGTCCTCATGACCTTAGAAATGAGGCAGGAGGGTAGCTGTGCAGCCATACAGCCTTTATGCTAGGGTTTAAAACGTCAAAGCTGCTTTTCTGTGTTTGGAACTTTATAGTGATTGTGCAATTAAATAGTGTGGGATCTTCCACTCCCCCTCTGAAGTGTTGGATCTTGTTTTGTAAGCTGGTAGTCCAGGGACTCCTGTTTCCTTACTGGTTGACGCTTGCTTTACCCTTCTCAGCTTTGTATCACTAGACTTGCATAGTAGATACCTGCAGAGGGAAGGTGTTCATAGGTATTTTGCAAGGATTTCATGCCAGACAGTGGAAAAATACTACCAGGATAACAGCGTCAGATCTTGCAGTGGTGGTGTCAGTTTGGCTCTAATTGTTCAGTCAGTAGTCTTCAGTCATTCTTACTGCCCAAGTGTGGACCTCTCAATTATCAGACCTGCCTGCAATAAGATGTTTTTAACAGTATTTTACTGTATTACACTCTGTAGTGTGAGTTGAAAATACCGTTTCTTGACGTTTCAGGATGCCAGTGTTTGCAAGTTGTGTGCATGTGGACTGGCTTTTATCGCTTCAGATATGGCTCTTGGCTGTACATGTGTTATCCCTTCTGAAAAGGGGGCACCCCATCTGTATGACAGTATTGAAGTGTGTATGTGGAAAAGAACTTGGCTGGGCTGTGTAACTTGTGACTTTCCCTGTGGAAAGATTGCCCAGTGCTTAGAGCAAGGCTTGTGTTGGGGAGTGAGTGTCACCAGCAAATAAATGTCCCTTCATACTTACAGGTGCTGTATATTTGGCATTTGTATGCACCTTTCTTGGTGCATGTCTGAGTTACAATTTAATGAGAGTGCCCCTCTAAGCCTGTGCAAGAAACCTCTGGGTCTCCTGCTATAATCACCTGCCATGTTGGGAAATCTGTCAACCGAGTTTGGAATTTAGACGGTGCGTGGTGTTAACTGTATATTTCTAGCATAATTGCAGCTGCAGCATTGAATCAAAGTTTTGGCCAAACAATGTACTTTTATTTGTTAATTATGTGATCAAGGCTGATTTGTTAGTGGATTCAGGATGTTTCTGATCACTACTTAGTAAGGACAATTGTGCAGAGGAAGATGCAAATACATTCTAGCTGTCATCTGAGTGCCTTTGCCCTGTACCTATAAGCAGTACCTCCTGAGCTTTCAAAATAATACTGGAGATACTAATTTTGAAGAAGACTTGCTTTGGAGGTGTTAGGGAAGGGGAGTAAGAATCTGGACTGGTTTGTCCCTAAACATTTTTAGGGTAAATTCAGCAAAACTGATGTTTGGTTTCATCCATTCTTCCATAATTTCTGTAACACTGTTTAATGCTGTGCATTAGCTGGCACCATAATTGTTTAAACGCTTTGGCATGTGTTCCTTGCAGTACATAGGATTCTTTAAGTAGTTTATCTTGCTGTAATTCTTTTAAATGCAGACTTTTGTTTTACTTTATTACATGTGCCTATCTTCCCTTTAATTTTGATGTTAAAAATGCAAACATTTCAAACCTAGCATGTAGTTTTAAACAGCTTTGAATGTACTTCTGCTTTTCTGGCTTTGAAATGTTTCGAAAGGCTCTTTTGTCATGTGTAACAATGCAAAAAGTTGTTTAAGATTATGAAAGCTTGTTAAGGAATAAAGCACATGACTTGAAATTTTATGTGCAGACCCAGAAATCAGTATTATTAGAACAAAGTATATTTTCTGTGGATTAAGGTGAGTCTGCAGAGGGAGCTGGAGAGGTCAGGCACTGAAGAGTGTGGAATTGTTAGTATGTAAGCCCTATTTCTGAACAGGGAAAACGATAGGGAAAAACATAGTAGCAGGCAGACTTTTTAAGCAATGTATTTTTCTATAGAACCATACGGGGTTAGAGTTGACAGGATATACAGGGCTGTAAAAACTTGTTCAGGTGTTGAATGTCACTTGTGATGCCTGAGTGTACCTCAGGACCTGGAACGTACCTGCCTGCCCTGCTTGGTGAGTATCGAGTGTTCTGTGCAGCTCCAGACAGTGTTGGCTGCCTGCATCAAGGCACCTGAACCAAAGTAGAACAACTTGATCTGGAAACTACTGCGTAAACTTTGACGGAGTTTTGGCAGGAAGACTGATCTAGGTTATGGCTTTCCACTCCTCCCCACCACGATGAGTGTGGTTGCCCTGATCTATATCACTGAACATGGGAGCAGTTACACTCGCCTCAGTACTGTTCCAAGGCAGCTATAGTAAATCTAGTTGTCTGTGGCACATCCCAAACAGAACCCTAGCAAAATGTTAACGCATGGAGAAGACTGCATAGTGTTATGTTCGGAGAGGATCAGGTGACTCCTGTCACTTGTGAACCAGCTGACCACTCCTGTCACTTGTGAACCAGCTGACCATATTCACATTTTGTTCTGTGCCCACTTCCTTCTTTGAAAGCAGAGCTTTGACTGGGTCAAGCAGCAATAAACAGCCCTCCCTGCCCACAGCTTCCTCTGCAGCTCTGCTGACCAAGAAGCTCAAGTTCTCAGACATCAGCGTTCCAGGTCCATAGTTTGTCTTGAGCTGGCAGAGTGTGTCTGTGTGACTTAGGGAGTGTAGAGGGTGGGAACTTTGGTATCATTGGAGTTCAGAGGTCAGACTTGCTGCAAGATGAAGATAGGAGACAATATTCTCAGCTTCTATAAACAAGCAATTTCGTTGCTGGAATAAAGCTTATCGTACCTGCAAAGGACCTGGCCTGGAGCAGGTGCAGATTCTGATACTGGTTTGAGATACTGCAAGATACAGTGGCTTCCCGAGTAGCAGCTGTATGTTTTGTGAAGCAAGTGACATGAAGCTTTATTGTAATTATTTTTGGTGTGTTCTTTTTTTAACTGCATGCGTATGTTCTTCTGTTTGCATTTAAGCTTTGCCCAGGAAGCCTAGAGCCCTTCAAATTGAAGGCAGCATGCAGTCCTGGTATGCACAAGTGTTCAGACTGCCTCCAGGCATTCTACCAGAGCACTGCTCTTGTGTGCTAAAATGAATGGCCCTATATGCTGTATTGGTCACAAGATGGGAAGCACATGAAACTGAACAGTGCGTTCATCTGCTTCTGGTTCTGCGCTGTGGCAGTTGTGGTGTAGAGAAGCTGGGGTACGCAGTATCGTGGTTAATCTTGTGGATGGACTGACCTTGCAAATTTGATTTTCTTGCTGTTAGTTATTTCTGAAGTGACCCACCTCAGGTATGTGAATTCAGGCAGGAGACGTATTCTGGACACAAAAAAGTGTTCTCTGCTCTGTTGAACTACTTAACATGCAATTGTTGTTACTCTTGCTCTGGAGGTTACTAGTGCAGGGAGTAAACTTCCTGAGACAATACTAAATCACCAGTCCTTTTTTTCTGTTTTTAATTGAGCATGTGATCACAACGGTTACTGATGCTCCAGCCCAACTTCCCCACCGATGGCTGCTGGCATGGGACCCTTCAAGCCTCAGAGTCCGGGGTATTGCGCATATCCTGTGCAAGGAAGAACAGAACTCCAAACAGCAGATCCTGCTGTGCTATTTTCAAAAAAGAAACAGGTACTATTTTTTTTTTCTTTGAAGAGATCAAAATATGCTGGAACCTAGCAGGAAATTGTTTGCACAATAAGCAATGTCCTAGCAGTGGCCTTCATGTTTAGTTTTGTCCTGATGAAATTTTTTTAGGGAAAAGCCAGAGAACTTGCCAAAGGTTTCTAAGCTCACATATTAGAGGGTGTACACTTGGTCAGAATAAAGATCTTTTTCTTTTGGATCTGAATAGCTTGATTTACTGATGCTCTATTCTTCTAGCAGATGGAGAAGTGAAATACTCAGTACTTATGGAGTATAGGATATTAATTAGGATTGTGATTTACCCAATGGAAGACAGCTTCAATTCTAAGGGAAGAATAAAGTCTTTGGAAAAGATGAAGTTGTATATGCAACAACCAAAAGAAGAAAGCACCGTATTTGTACAGACACTCGTTGCTTTTCTTTATGAACCCTGTCAAGGAAACTGAGTTACAGAGTTTTTCTTCTAACGCTGTAGAAACACCCTTCACCTCAGTGCCAGCCAGGTGCAACACCTTGGTTTCCAAACTGCTTTAAACCTGAAGTAGAGAAGGTCAGAACAAACAACAGGCAAACTTAAAATTTTGATTATCTAAGTGAGAATGTATTTCCTCTTGGTCTTCTAAAAGGACACTTAAGAGCCTCCAGAACTTAGTCTCTTTTATTTGTTCAGTTTTCAGAGTTACTGATGCAGATATTTTCAAGTATAGGGATGACCTGACACTGAAGAATAAAATTAATCACTGATCCTGTCTTCAAAGTAGTGTTTTTGTAGTGAAGCAAACACTAAATTCTAATGCAAGCTAAAGCTTAGCCACTGCAGGATCAACACCAGGAATTGGCAGTCCCTGTGTCTGTACTGTTTGTGAGAACTGTCAAAGGCAAATTCCTAAATTCATTTAACTTTCCCATTTCCTAAGACTGTGCTCTTGGCTGTACACCAGTCAGGAGTCCTTTAGTGTTGTCTAGAGAACGTGTTTACATGCGGCACAGGTCCATTCTCATTCTGTTTCCATATCACAGCTAAATTCTTAACCTCTTGAATTATTTTCAGCCTCTGATGCCGTTTCACCTTGCTTGTGGCAATATTGTCATCTTATTGCTTATATCTTTTTCAATAAAGCATGTTAAGAATGCTAGGTGTGTCTTCAGGGCAAAAACAGTGACATGAGTATGTAAGACAGAGCTTTAACAGTCTGAAACAAAAAGGAAAAGTATGAAAGTTGATTTACAGAGGGATGATGTTCAAGTGACTGAATATTATCACAGTAACATGACCTTGCTTCAATAGTTTGTGTTTTTTTTTTTTTTTTTAATAAAAAAAGCAAATATAGCACTGCAGCATTTCTGGACTGCTTTGAAGCATTTAATGCAGGGCCCCATCAAAACAATTAAGCTGGAAGGGCCACGACTTGGTACTGGAATATAAGCTGAAGGACAGCTGCATAAAAAGGGATGAGCTGTGGGAGGAACGTAGATCACCACAGCCCTGAGATTTGGTCATAGGTGTTGATCTTGACAAAAGGGCAAAGCAGCATTCATGCTGCCTGACCTGAGGTGGCTGTATGTTCTGTAGCCATGGGATGACCTCCCAAGCTTGCAGTACTAAGTGACATCCATTTTAATATGAAGCACGAAAGCACTAATATTAAGGATTAAAAATGAGTATAGGGTTGTGTGAAGGAGCTGCAATAATCAGTTGAATGCTGGTGCCATGAAACTGTAAATGCAGTTCTGTGATGTGTCACCAGGGGGGTTCCTAATCAAGACAGAACTACGAACTGCATTGCTCGGCCATCAGTACTAGTAAGAAAACAGATATGCAGGCCTGTTGAGTGGATGAACTATAAACAGTTGAATCATCTTTGTGATATTAATTAATTCAGTTAAGGAACAGCTGAAAGACTCACTGTGGCATAAATACAGCTAGAGGAGGAAATATTTATGCTTAAAATTTGTTGCATAAAATGAATATAAACAGATCTTAAAACTTATGATTGGAGTGGGAAGACTTCCATGACAAAGTAATACCTTATAAAAGGGATTATGTTTAGGAGACATTTCTTTACTTAGGAAGCATTTCTTTACCAAGAGGATGGTCAACCACTGGAATAAGCTTCCGAGAGAGGTGATGCCCCAAGCCTGTGAGTGTTTAAGAGGCATTTGGACAATGCCCTTAATAACACACTTTTAACTTTTTGGTCAGCCCTGAAGCGGTCAGGCAGTTGGACTAGATGATCATTGTAGGTCCCTCCCAACTGGAACTATTCTATAATATTCCATTCCCAGTTGCCTGGGATGGTGCTGGATCTCAGTCTATGAGACAAAAGACTTTTTTCTGTCTTTTGCTCCTACCTCAGTTTTATACCTCATCTTGGTCTAAAATTTGGTAGCAAAATCCTGTGACAAACTCTTTCAAATACTCCTTCCTTACAGAAACTAACTGCCAATGTTTAGTTAACATAATCAGGATTTTTGAATGCTAAACTATTGCAGTTATTTAATGCAGTCTCTACATGTGTAGAGCATGGCTAAATTTAGGTCTGCTGCTTGTTCCAATGCTGTAGAGCGACCTAAATATGTACTTAGTGGTGGTATAACACACTGAAGAGCTGTCCTGTTCATCCCACTTCGTATGTGTGCAACTTAAAGCTGAGTTTTCACTTACTGTTGGAATGCAAATGTGAAGATAAAGGTAAGATTTATCAATTGTACTTCACTTTGTCTAGTATCCAAACACATGAAACGAAGTCAGGTTTTATATTTGCACTGACACCTCTAAAATCTCAGAGCACAGAGTTTTGCTTTATTGTAGTAGAAATATTACAAAAAAATACATTACAAATGACTGAGCTGGGCAAAAATGCCCTGGGTTCGATATTCTATAATTTAAAAGTATATATAATGAACACTTTTTATTCAATGGTTGTGATTGTGGAAAGGGTTGAGGGAATTATGAAACCATTTAATAAAATAAAAATCCAACTGAAATCGATACAGTAACTCCAAAGATTTAATTTTATTTATTCATCTGTACAACAGAGGTGAGACAATCCCTGTAATTGACTTGCACATAATTGTCTTAATTTCTACAAAATAAGGAAGTGCAGCTCTATGGAAGAATTGTTTCCAAACTCTTCAAGTAAAAACCAGAAGTTATCCACTAAGCAATGCATTTAAAAAAAAAAAATCACAAAAGTTACTTCAACTCACTCTTCCCCCTGTATCTCAATCTCATTAAAAAATGGAAGAGCCCTGCTACCCCTGTTTCAGGTGCATGGCTGGTGCTACCAAGACTACTCATCAGACATGGTTTGCTGGTCAGCTGTGCCTTGGGCATGTGTGAAAAAGGAAAGAAACCATCCATACGGCCACTTTAACACTGCAACTTGGAATAAACCACTGCTCAGCAAAACAAATTAACCTGTGCCAGAGCTGCAGTCTTATTTCCCCTGGCGTGCTGTACCCCAGACCTGTATGCAGTTCCCCGTGACCTTCTTCAGCTGCCACCACCACCCACCTGCGCCCTGCATGATGGACTAGTGCTGGCAGTAAGCAGGACAGTCAAGTCCCACCACATCAACCCTCTTCACCAGGGAGAGGTCTACAAGTGGAGGATCCAGCGATTGCTCAGTGACACAAAGGAGATGCAGGGCTGTGTTACTCCCTCCTTGCTCTAGGTTTCCTTGCACCAGTGTAAATCAGTAGCCCATCCTCCGAAGTCGGCAGGTTTATCTCAGTGTAAATGCAGAAGCAGCATCAGCCACCTTGCACAGGACCCCCAGCGTACCTGGGCTGTAATCTGAAAGCCTTCTGAGATGCCCTGTTGCCTTCAGTGGGATTTAACTGGGCCTCTCTACATGTGTGCAGCAGTAGTAAAAAGTTCTGAAAATAGTTGTAAAAATGCAGATTACATTCCTCTAAAATGATACCTTACAGATTGTTCGCTTCTCCGTAACTTTCAATGCTTATGGAATGCTGCTAAAATGTTGCATACAGCTTCATAATAATAAAAACTTAGTGAGCTGATTGCTACATTCAACTTAAAAGCAATTTTGAAATTTTATCAGATTTATGATGGGGCAATTACTTTTTTCCATTTTATCTTCAATTGCACATGCTTCATCAGGACATGCTAGAAAAAAAAAGCTATGGATTTCATAGTCTGTTTTTTTTTTTTTTTCTCTCCCTTTAGAGAAAAGGGTTGTGGATGGCTGTCTCCAGTCTGTCCACACTTTCTGAAGCTAGTCTCATTGTATAGCCTGTTAAGGAATGTCTCTGCAGGTCACTGGTGAGCTAATGACTGAAGTTTGAAGTACTCATTATCATCTTCCGTACAGTTAGCAAACCATGTCCCTTTATAGCCTAATAAAAATCAACTGAATTGTTCAAATCCAAAATTTCTAAACTGAAGTTCACAAATTTCAAAATAAATACAACTTAATAAAAAACATTAAAAACCCCCACTTTACTTGCAAAAACCTATGCTTGGTCTCAAAGGTATCCTATTTAACCTACCATATCCATTATGGAACACTGGATTTATGCACTATGTCAGAAATAACTGAATTTACTTAGAATTGCAATGATGCGATCCACTGTGCTAGTAATTAGCTATTTCAGAGACTTGTGTGTGTACCTTAAAAAGAATCAATGTGTTTCTTTAAATTTGGTTGCAAATACTGGAAAAATAAAATACTGTCTCTACAAAGCGCCAAATTCCTCTTGTTCTTATGTAAGTCAACGCAAAAAAATGAGGGTGTTTAGAGAGCTTCTCAACATTTTGCAGGATGACATCCAAGACAGGTTTAGAGACTGATCATCATTATGAAAGGAACTCTTTCAGAAGTAAGTTCTAACAGCTGTGATTGGATGGGTTTCCAACACCGTCTTCCCTGAAGTCTCTTTAAATGATGGCATCATGTTCATCACTGTAATAGAAACACAGTAATTAATGTTCTGCAGTACAAGCAACAGGCAACATGAGAAACAGCCACCCAGCTGCTGCTAAGGTGATTATTTTGTGAACAGAGGCCATCTTGTTGGGAAGGGCTAAGGGCACATGGACCTGGGGGGTTACAGTCCTCTCTGAGCCAAGCCTGAGGTTAACAGAACAATTTAATTTTGTCAACACTCCTCCAGCATTACTAGCCTTATTATCATTTGGCTTTCACATTTCATTCAAGTAAATATTTTTAGATCAGCTGCTGCTCAGGAATTTTTATCCTATCTATCTTACCTATGTGCACTAGTAACAGCTAATCAAAGTTTACACACTCAGCAACAGGTTTCCTTTGTTTAAAAGATACTGTTGATCTGAATTCTACAATATCCATTCAAACAGTACTGTGGGTAAACATGTGCAGCAGGGACTGGTTGAATTCCATGACCAGCAAGGAGGAGTCAAGATGGACAAAAAACACAAGCACCCCAACAAGTCTAATGACATCACCTCACTTAAGCTTCTCAACTGAGATGGATGATAATGAATACTGAGTAGAGCTGAGTATAAATGGCAAATGAGATGGTACAATTTTGATTGTGAGATAAAAGATGAAGTCAAAATCATAGACCTCTGACTCTCAGAAATGAATGCTGCAAAGGAGAGGAAAAGAGTAGGTCCACAAAGAAGAATCACACCCAAGACAAGACTGGACCTACTACCTCCTGTCCCCTAATCGCATATCACAGTGGAGAGAAACCAGTTGCCTGGAAGAAGTTGGTGGCAAAGAATCTGTTTAAATCAGTGTTTTTCAACTTGTAGTCTACAGACTATCTGAAGCCCACAGACAACTTCTAAAACATCTTGAAAAGATAATTAAGAAAAGCAAGCTTACTCTCAATAGGTTTGTATTTGCTCTACAGTGCCTACACTCTACAGGCAAAAAACCAACACCCTGCAGCTCAAATGAGGTTGAAAGTCACTGGTGTACACAGAGTAAATGAGTGACTTTAGGTGAGATCCAGCCTATATCTTTCAATATCCACAGCACAGACTTCTTTATCTAAGACTTTCAGCTGCCCTCACAGTAAGTGAATACAGAAATGTATGGATAGGCTGATTCACCTGATGGATTTACCCTACTTTAGGGTAATATGAATGATATGAAATGACAAGTTCAGACACCAGTATTCAGTTAAATGAATTCTAGCTCTTATTTCATGGACTTGTAAAAAGTCCTTAAAGCAGGTTCAGTGCATCCAATTTCATGAACCGGTTTCTGGACTTGAGAACAAGGTAACAGAAAACTAAACATCATAAATCAACAAGTTGGCCTGCCTATATTGCAAGGTGGGGCAAAAGTTTGAGCTCATATATTGAGAATCAAAACTGTGCTTTTAAGCAAGTGAATAGTGGCCATATCTCCTTTGAATGTTTTCTGTCACAATAAATAAATGAATTGATTCAACAATGGTGGCTTAAAAATGTGTAATATTAGATATCTGGCTTTAAAACTGGCTCCTCAAACTGGACTTGAAAGTACCTAAAAGGTGATACGAAAGAGAGATGGTAACAGAGTTCCAAGGAGATGTCATACAGGTAGTCGAAAATAGTGCTACTACAAAAAATTAATGGCAAGGGGGAGGAAAATGCCAAAGAGTGGACAGACAAATAAAGTCTAGGAGAAAGTGTCAGGAAGAACTAGAAGCCTTGCAAATGTAACCAACATTTCCTTGAAATGTTAGCTATACATGGAGTATCTAAAGAACAAGGATCCTTTAAAAAAACCAAAATTTTATATAATAGATCAGAGAAAAAACCCACACAGAAGAGAGGAATAATAATAATAATAATAATAATAATAATAATAATAATAATGAATAGCTGAAGTGGTGAAAGACAAAAATATCAGTTAATTCTCTTAATGATATTAATTTAATGTACATTAAACGAATGTATTAATTATAGTTCACTCTCCCTGTTTTGTTTGCCCTTGTTCTTCTCAAGAAAGTAATAAGCTGACAAGGGAAAATCCCTTGGGAACTTACATGGTTCTGTACTGAATGCCTCTTCTAGAGTGATAGGCTTTGCATCCAATGTAGAGAATAACTAGGACTCCAAGTGTCAGCACAATGCCACCTACAAAACTGCCCACATCAAATCTGGAGGTTTTCGCTATGACAGCCTCAGATTTTGATGTGGCTGAAAAGAAGAAAACAAAAGGCTGTTTTTACAATGACTGCAAAATTGTCTTTCGAGGGTCTCCTCTATATCCTGCCCTCCCCAATGACATGTCAGCTAAAGACCCAACTAGACAAACCTAATGTAGATCAACTGGCAAGATATCAGCCAAGTACACTGAAACCTAGAGCTCCATGTTCAAGTGCCAGATGCTGGTAATGCAGGAGGAGCTGATCCAACTGTTTGCTGTCTCTGAAAGACTGCTTGCCCTTCTCCTCTCCACCTCCCTCTTTCCCCTGCCTTTTTTGTCCCCTGCTCTCTCTTCCACACATGCAGCCCCTGTACTTCTTAGGCCAGTTCTAGTGTTTTTCATACCCTCCCTGAGCCAATCTAACTCAATAAGCTGGCCTGGAATTAAGCCAAGCAGAAAAGGAAGTTGCTTTTAGTCAGAGGAGCATCCTGAGTCAGCTTGCAGAGGGGTCCAACAACCACCAAGTCAGTCAGTACAGTTACATGGTGAGTGTAAAATACTTTTGGTGGCAATGAACTGTTGGATTGCTTTACCTTGTCTCATGGAATTGTACCCTCACTCTCCAAGACAGATTAGCTCTGCAGCCCAACAAAAATATTGACATAGATAACATGACCTCAGATAAGCCATAGCAGTTTCCATGCAAAAACTGGTTTTATCTGCTACAAACTCACACCAAAAGACCCAGTCTGTGCCCATCCCTATTTGTACTTGCCACAGGGAGCATTACGTGGCCAACTGAAAATTCTGCTGATGACAGTTCCACCTACCCAACAACACTTCACTGACATGTGAGCAACCTTGATCTGTTTCGAAGTGTAAGCATCAAGTGGTGTGAACAAGCAGCTAACCCAACCTCAAAGAAATACTGAATTCTACACTCACGGTTTTTGTATTAAAGGGTACTGTCAAACTGTATTTGACAACTTTTACATGAAATGTGACTCATTCATAGTCACACTCTATCCAACATTAGGGATAAAATTCATTACATTGCTACCAATGTGGCTAACAGAACCCAGTCTTTCTACCAAGCCAGTAAACTTATTTGAGCCACAGGTCAGCTGTGAAAAAAGAAGTATTAGAGATGAGTTCAAGTAAGCTGTAGAAGGGAGAGCTGAACAAATACAGAAGTTGCATTCAAAAGCCAGGCTTTCTCCTAACATTGCTCATCTCCTTGCTGGTGGCTGCTAGTTCAGACCACTTGCTTTTTTTTTTTTTTCCTGAATATGTCAGGTCTTTCAGGTTAAGTGAAGCCTTGTTAAGTAAGTGGAGGGCTCAGAGCAACATGATTATAGCCAACTTAATAAAAAAAACCCCACCTTACTCTCGTTTTTCAGCATGCAAATACCTTCTTTCTTTGTTATACTACTGTAAAACTAACAATTCTCCAATTATACATGTCAACATGTATACAAGCCTTTATGAGCTGCTTGAAGTGTGAACTCACCTGTTACAGATGTGAAAGAAACCTTGGAAGTGGTCACCACCGTAATATTGAGTTGTGATGGTGTGACTGATGAAGTTATGGCAGATCTGGATGTCTGGCTGGTTTTGGTGGGCTGAGTCGTTGGAGTGACAGACTTAGTGGTGTTGGCGGGCTGACTGGTACTGGTCAGATGAGTAGTACTGGTGGGCATACCTGGGAAATTTTTATTTGCCATATCACACAGAAAAATACATAAAAATAATAAACTGTATAGTCACTGAATAAGATAGCATTTATCATGCCCAAATAGAATGACAGAGTAGCAATGAAAATGCCACTGCATGGATATCCAGGCTTGCATACAGACGCTTCCCCTATGCATTTCCTCTGGAAAGACCTAACTTCCGATTTCTGGGGCTCAAGGTCAGGAATGGTTAAAAGGAAAGGCTGTCAAGAAAACCTGGATAATAATAACCTTTAGAAGGGTAAAATTTTTTTGGGTAACACTGTCCAATTCCATAAAATCAGGCCTGACTTACAGTATTTTAAAATGTGGTAAAATTCTGGATCAAGAGTAACTTTCCACTTGAAGCATCCAACTTCTCAGATAAGAAAAGATTTTGCACGAAAAGGCACCCCCCTCGCCACCCCCACCCCCTCCAATTTTGTTATGATTTAATCTTTTACTTTTGAATGAAATACTGGCTTTACTAAGGCTGCATGTATATTAAGGTTCAAAACACTTTCCACATGTGGTACAAGTTCAACTAAAGTAAATCTGCTGGCTTGTATCATTTATTTAGTAGTGGGCTGTCATGCCAAGGTCAAAACAAAGACTGGAATGCTGTTTCACAAGCTTGGTTGACACCTAACATCATTAACTTTTACTGGGATTTTACCTAACACTTCCCCTTCCCACCTCAGAAAGCAGTAATGAACTGTTCAGAATAAAGACACCATGAACCAAAATTCAAGAATAATAGATTGATATTTATAGTAAAATCCTTATAATCTCAGTAGAAAGCAGCCAGGTAGAATCATCTTAAATATAATTACTTATTTTTCTAAGATGGAACTAACAAGAAACATGAGCCTGTTATGCAACTAACATTTCTCTAAGCAGACAATATGAGGCAAATAGCTTTTATGTATGAAGCAATTCTAGGGAGAAAAAGCTCCCTTTGTAGCTGTCTACTTCTGTATTATTTCTATAACCTCAAACAAGCTGGGTTAACTTTAAACACCACAAAAGCTTTTCATTATGGACATTCAAGTGTCTAATTATACTCATGTCTTCTTGAAATAGTCTAAAACTAGAACAACTGAAGAATAGGTAATTTCATCTCAATTCCACAGAAAACTTGATATTCGATTTCTGGGTTTTGGTTTGGTTTTATACAGCATCTAAAATGCTTCTATAGAATAACCATCTTGTAAGTGTGGTTTAAAACGTGAGTAGCCACACACAGAACGATGTCTTTGCTAAGACTTAAGTAACACTGCTTCCAGTACAGACATGAACATTAAAAACTTAAAACCACCAAACAATATGACAATGTAAGCATTCAGAAAGCAACTGGCCTACACAACACTTTTCTGAGACATTTAACATAAAAACTACTGACACAGCCCAATGCAGGCCCCATAGTAAATGTTATTTATTTTCCTGTTCTTTGATGTCGTAATTGCATTTTGCCATAATCCTAGGAAACACTTTGAAATGAGCATTCATTGAGATGGAACAGTTGGAGTACCATATTCATGTGCTTACCTTGTTACAATTAGAAAATTCAGTTCCTCTAAGAAGCATGTGTAAAAAACATCAGATAAAATTCAGGGCACATTTTAATACTGACAGGTAAACTCCCCAAAGGCACGAGGATCTATATATCAAATGGTTCCTCATTGCAGGAAATAAGTAAGGAAATGTCTACATGCAAAGCATCTACAGTTACATGATATGAAACCACACCTGGTAACAGTGTTCATAATATAAAAGATACCAAAAGACAGACAAATCTGAATGCAATTATCAACCAGTCAGTTTTCTGTAGGTTTTTTTTTTGAGCCACGATTTCTAAGTGTCAAACTGACTGATATTTCTGAGCAATATAATGGCTAATTTTTCCATGTGTAACGTTATTAAGCAATGTTACACAAAGATGGTGCTTATTCCATGGGCATTAAATTACCCTACAGAAAACCTGGCTCAGCACAAAAAATATCCAAGCGGTTATCATGAGGAATTTCAGTAAATTTGTACATTACTTTTCCCCCCTCTCTTTCCTACTAGTGATCGTTTTTTCGTACTTTATCAAGATTACAGCACTTGGTGAGGTAACATTTATATTTAGAGTAAAATCTGGTTAATCTCCTATAGACTTATCTTTCATGATGTATTTAGCATCAGTCATTTCAAAATATCTGTGGGAGGCTATCTGAGGCAGCAGGAGAATTTGGGAAGCTGACATGAACTGGGCACTAATCTGTTCTTCTGTATCTCTGAAAAATCTCACCCATACTATTTTACCAACAGAGTTAAGACGAAAGAACATTTGCTAACAAGATCTGTCCTTTTATTTCTCTAATTACTTTCCTCCCAAAAGACCAGCTGGGCTTCATTGAACATCACGCTAAACAAACTCAGACTGCCCGAGTTAATTTGTATTATTTAAAAAAATTTAATATTTTATTTATTGCATGCCAGCAATATAGTTCAGGTTTATGATGCTTTATTTTTAAAAGAGACAAATGCTTTACTTTATATGCTACCTGTGTTTAAACATTAAATAGCTATGCTACATTCATCAATCAAAGTGTATATATGTAGCGTAAAGGTAAGAATTCTTAGCAGCATGCACTACTCCCTTAGTGTTCTAACTCAACAAGAACGAACACAACTCAAATTGCATAAGCATCATGCTAATATACAGAATAATCAATAAGGAATGTTTTTTCTAAAATAAATACATACTCTCCTTTGCATGAAAAATGATTGAACAAAACAGATCTTTGCTTCTGTCATGAAAAGCTTCCAAAAAAACCCAACCCAAACAGGAAAAGACTTTAAGCAAAATTAAGCACATATATCCAGTAGTCTTTATTCCGAAGAGGTCGAGACAGATAATCAAAATAGATGCATGTTGTCTTAAAAACTATGAAGTTTCTAACCAAAAAAAAAAAAAAGAAAAAAAAGAAAAAAAAAGAAAAGAAGGATGTGAAGCAAGGCATAGCTGTCTGTAAGGTTTGTACTGTGCCTAACGGTAAAGGGCTCAAGCCCCTTTTCACTGTTATTACCCAGACATAGCAAAGCTCAGACCTCTGCAAGAAACCCACAGTGAGGGCTGAACAAAGGGCAGAAGGGCTGGAGTGCAGGGTGGGTGAAACACCTGTGGTTAACAATGGCTTTACACATGGGGAAGGCCCTAAGGCAACACGAGGATTACAGAAATCTCTCCACTTTCCAAGTTAGACATGCTTAAACTGGTACTTGGCAGGCAATGGAATGAGAAACTGCACCACTTCCTTGCTAGCAGAAGGTCTTTGCAGAGATTGTTTTTTTCCCCTGGTATTTTATTCTTCAGTGAATAACAAGCAACTTCTGAGTGTGGTAGCTCGGACGTTATCTGGACACTACAGAGACACAAAGTGAGAGTTGTACTGGAAATGGAATGACATAGCTGGGACCTTATGATGACCATGAAACTCCACAAAGTATCGTAGGGTAGGCACAGTATTTCTGCCCTGCTTTCACATGGCTCTTAGCACAACGAGGACATAGCTCATGCATGGAACTAGCTTTTCTTCTCTTCTCTCAGATACAACCTTTTATTTGTGCATCACTGACTGAACAACGGCATTACACTAATTCTCATCCAGTCTTTACAGACATGGTGAAATACACCTGTGCAAATTATTCCAGAATATAATTTTTTTTTAATTTCCTTTTTTAATAATCTCACATTGACATAGCCAACAGTTGGAACACTGCAAATACAAGTGGACAAGCTGTTTGTTTGAGTCCCAGGTTAAATATCTGCTTTCAAACTCTACTAGTTGATCTAATACAGCTATTTCTTCTTTCTACAAAGATATGTTTTGTAAACACATTACTTATGTTGGAGCATCAGGACTGCAACACTGTTGCTTTGGGAAATATTTCTTACCTACAGTTCTTTTGCCAAGTTGTGAAGGAAAGATGGTAGTGCTAGAACAATGCAAAAGTACCTGTGACAGATTGTCCCAGATCTGCCACTCATGTCTCACTTAACTCCTCTGTTTTGTGCTATGAGCTCTGTAAGGACCATTTTCTACGGTATAAGGTGTCATGAGTCCTACCTAAAAGGAAATGGAGCCTTACTCTTGAAACTCAAGTCCCTAGGACTTCATTATACCCCAAATCTATTTACTGTGAAATAACAGTAAACAGATACGCACTGTTTGCACAACAATCTCTTCATAATAATCTTTACTCCATGAAAATAGAAGTAGTTTACTCTGTGAAAATGGAAGAGGTTTCCTTAGAGACAAAGAAAGAACATTAAAAAGACTAACTTCTTTCAATTCTTCCTTGAAGTTTTATTTTGATTTCTGTTTTTCAATGGCACCACAAATGTCATTGCTTCTACTGATGAAGCATGGTACTTAAACTTGAAAAACAGTATAGCTGCATTTCAGAGTTGTTTCATGTGTGGCCGCCCAGCCCTAAAATGCTAATACCTCTCTCAAACACCCGCTTTTGATGGATATTGCTTTAGAATTTGGTATAGTATGGCATAGGTTTGGAGCTAGCTTGTAGGTTCACAGTAACGGACAAATGAATAGATACGTACCTGCTGTAGATTGTGTGGATGATATAACAGAAAGATTGGATGAACTGTTATGGCCTTCATGGAAAAAAGAAAACAAGAAAAGAAATATTACTCATTGTCATTTCAACATACTATAATTAAAGTACCCACAACACAATACTCTCCTCAGGGCATCCCTGTTTGCAGGCTACAAGAGAGAATAGAGCAGAGTATTCCATCCCAAAGCAGATGGTTTTATCCCTCTGCAAAATTCTTCCAGACCTCAGTGCAGCAGGAACACTGCTACCTACACTGTATGTGCAGCAGTGCCTAAATGGTCTGCATCCAAATTCTTTACATCTCCTTTTTTTGCTCTCTTCCACTTCTATGTCTCGCTCTACTCCAGTTGCTGTATCAGCCATACTGTCACTGACTTTCTTGACCTACTTAAGCACTGTGGGAGTTTCCTAGTTTTTGTTCCTGTCATGGTTTTAGGCTGATAC